CTCGCTCGCGGGGTCGGCGAAGCCCGGCCGCCGCACGGCCGCTCCCGCCACGCCGTCCGTGTCTGGGTTCGAAGTCGAGAGGTGGAGGAGGACGGCTGCGGAGCGCCGCCCGGGAGCCCCCCACCCCGGGACCCCGGGGCGCCCGGGCCATGGTGTCACTATGGCCTTTGCCCTGGCTTTGCGTTTTTCCACCCTGAAAGGTCACAGTGTGCTCCGGGGTTGGCCCCGGTTTCGGGGCGAGGAGGGCTGAGCACCGGGTTTCTTCTTTCTTCTTGTTATTTTCCTTCCTAGAAGTTGTCGGCATGGCGTGCGGTCGGGTCAAGTTCTGGAAATTGCGTAACTTTCCTCTCCCCCTTCTTGGCAGGGGCACTATGAACGAAGAGGAGCAGTTTGTAAACATTGATCTGAATGATGACAACATCTGCAGTGTTTGTAAACTGGGAACCGATAAAGAAACGCTCTCCTTCTGCCACATTTGTTTTGAGCTAAATATTGAGGGTAAGGACACAGTGTCTTTAACGTCAGAGTGCGAACCTCACGCAGCTACTTAGAGGAAACTGTCAAAGTAGATTTCTTGGATGACTAGGGGAAAAAATTGTACAAAATCTGAAGACTTGTTAAAGATGAAGGTTTTGGGAAATGATACAACCAGAGGAATTACAGTACTAACCCCATTCTTGCTAAAATTAAAAATGAGATATTGCCTGGTAAATGTTTTTTCTAATTGATAGCTTATTTGGTTTGCCAAGTCTAACAGACATGTTTTTCATATTAAGAACTAATTTAAGCATTTATACATTGATAATCAAGTATAATTTTATTCCTTTGGGTCTACTAAGCTAGTACCTGAGTGAGGTGAGCCTGTATTATTCCTCCCTTTTGCTTCCGTTATTAATTCCTTTTCAGTGACACCTTTAATGTGTGTATTGAGATTAGTAGCTAGCTTCCAATAAAGATGTGGTTTACTACCTTTCTCTTGACAATATTATATTAAAACCCTGATTTTTTTTAGATATATGAAAAAATGTTTAACAATCCTGAATACATAAAATTTTGCCTGTAATTTGAATTTAAGTTTGTAACATCTCATTGAAGAGATTTTCTTTTCCTAGACCTTTACATTTTGGGCAGATTCAAAACAGTATTTCAATTCTTTCCTGACTATATTTGAGATTTTTGTGATTTTTTTTTGAAGTGATGCAAAATGTTCTTATAATGAAATGCACACAGTGATTATATACTTTGAAATTCCAGTTAGGACTTGATATATAGAAATGTAATCACCAAATAATAAATGACAGAACACCATGGATTTCCTGTGTGTAGAATAGCTGTAACTTTGGCTTTACTAAATGTAGTAATTATGACTAATTTCAAAAGAATGACTTAAAATATTATTTTTCTGTAGCATTTATATTACTATGCTGTTAAACTAGAGCAAAAACTCCAAATTTATGTCCTTTGGAAATAGAAATGACCAGTATATTCTGATGCCTTATGTAAGTGTATATTTGGATGAATAAAAACAGAGCTGGGCGCCAGTAGCTCATGACTGTAATCTTAGCTACTCAGGAGGCTGAGATTTGAGGATCATGGTTCAAAGCCTGCACAGGCAGGAAAGTCTGTAAGACTCATCTCCAGAAATGGTGCTGTGGCTCAAGCAGTAGAGTGCTCGCCATGAGCTGAAGAGCTCAGGGACAGCACCCAGGCCCAGAGTTCAAGCCCCACCACCCACCCCCCAAAAATTAGACATGATCCAGTATAACCCTTGTAGGCGGATAGGTAGAAGACACCAGATTGCTCTTGTCATGTGCCAGGTATTTTCTGTGAGCCTTTCCAGTGCCAGAGATTATACTAAGTACCTTACTGGATTATCTTAAACTCAAAATAGCTCTGGGATGTCTACTGTTATTACTCATTTTAAATGTGCTGGAACTGAACCTTAGAGACCTCAGAAATGTACTTCAGTCCCATAGCTAGTAATGAGACAGTCCTGTGCTTTGAAGCTTGGCCACTGGCTCTGTGTATGTGATCTTAGTTCCACTGATCTAGTGTCAATGGTTGTTTTATTGTAAGGCTGCGAGTGTTAGAAGCTTGTCCTCTTCCGTCCTAATCGGTTATCCTTGCTAGTCACTCTGTCAGTTTCTTCTACCCAGGGCTTCCTGCTAAATCAGCATTACTGGGTAAATTATTTTTTTGCAGAAACCTAAAAATTCATAATTGCTTTTCTATCCTTTTTAAAAATATACTTTTAAACTGATTCTGTGTAAAGAATATACAGACATTTTTGAGGAATGTTATATTCCTGAATTATAAACATTTCAGCTCTTGATATCTAACAGTAAGTCCTGTGTTTTTGAAATTATAGTTGTCTCTCAATTTAAAAACAAAAGCAATTCTTAATTTGATAAAATATTTCATTTAGTATTCTACATATATTCTAGATTTTATATATTAAAATTTCCAATGTAACTTTTGTAAGAAAAATTGAGTAAATATTTCTTCTCATCTAGCATCAGTTCTTTGCTTTGAAAAAAAATACACATTTTTATCGTTAGTACCATGATGAGCTAGTTCATTATATACATTTTGTTAAATTTAAGATTATATGAAATAAGAGAAGGAATGAGTACCCTTGGTACTCATTTCTTTATTTTTTTAATGTTAGTATAAAGATTTTTAAAAGTCAATAGAAAAAAGTAATACAAAGGTAATACTACAAAAATTATAGTATATATTCTCCATCTTGATTAGTAAGCCTTTTTAAAACATTGTTACCAAATTTTGTCACAATGCCAGTCAGTAGACTTGAATGCAAGAGGGACTTTAAAATGTACGTTTAAAACTACTAATTTGGAATCATGTTCTTTTGTAATATGATAATATTTCGGGTACCTGTTTTCTTAGCTACATTTGCTCTAAACAATTCATTTTTTTCTTTTTTTATTTTTCTTTTGTAGTAAGGAACAACAACAATTAGACTGGCTTAGAGCTCACACATTTTTAGTAAATAAAAGTAATATTTTATACATTTAGGATTGTTTATATCAAATCAGCCCAGTCTCCTAATCAACAGGCCTGTTTAAAAGCTTTGTGCATAGTTTGTACAACAAAGACAATGGATAGAGATATTCTAAAAAGACAGTGGGGTCTTGTTTGAGTGATTTCACACTCTGAGCATAGTACTAAGTTGTCTTATTTTTCCTATGACTTCACAGTACTTAGGAAATGGGTACCTAGATCAGAGTGGTTGCGGGGTGGGGGGAACAGGTGTTAGTTTAGAATAAGTATACAAACCAAGATGATGAACTTTAAGAATTTAAGAAATGTAACCTGAGGACTCGGGTATTTAAGTATTCTCATGATTGACTTTTTAAAAAGTCCTCACCTGGCTGGGCACCAGTGGCTCATGCCTATAATCCTAGCTAGTCAGGAGGCTGACATCTGAGGATTGTGGTTCAAAGCCAGCCGAGCAGGAAAGTCCCTGACACTTGTATCCGCAAATAAGCCACCAGAAAATCAGAAGTGGTACTGTGGCTCAAGTGGTAGAGCACTCACTTTAGCTGAAGAGCTGAGGGACAGTGCCCAGGCCCAGAGTTCAAGCCCCACAATGACAAAAAAAAAAAAAAAAAGTCATCACCTGTAATTAATTCATTATTAGGGTAATAGGTCTACTTACAGGATTAGGAGATACATGTATAAATTTCTAATACCCATGCCCTGTCTTTGACTCTGAGACACAATAAACTTTTTCATACATGTTAGCCACTCAATATTGTAAACCTAGTTTTCTTGTAGAATCTGTAACTGTTTGATGACCAAGTCACTGTTATTCCCTCTGCTGAGCAGAGAGGAAGGCAACCCAGTGAAGCCAGCACTGTGGCACCAGTAGTAAAAGTCAACTGTAGTGTAACAAAAGTCAGGAATGAGAATTGATGGGGAAAGATCAAGAGTTCTGGTACCATGACTTTCCACTTTCAGTGTTTGCCAGGAAAATTGTCAAACTGGCTCTTAGATCCTTTCTATTTTTCTCTGATAACAAACTCTCTGATTTATAGAGGAAAACCTTTTTTCAGAAGGTGGGACTAATTCCTTTTATACCAATCCAGTAAAGTTGATGAGTAAGCATTTGTCTAGCTACTCTCTTTAGTATACCTAATTCACCTCATTAGTAATCTTTGTAAGAAAAATCATACTCTGAATAGTTATTATACATTGCTTTACATATATGTACTATACCTGAACTTAGGAGAAATTTGTATTTTCATATTGGATTAATCTATCAAGACTTTTTTCAATAAGAATTTCTTGAATGCCCCCCCCTAAAAAAAGAAAAATCATAGGTATTTTCACTTACAGGCATAGGAGAGTGGTAAGCCCTGTGTCTGTTTACTTTTGTTTTTCTTTCTTTTTTGTTTTTTTGGCACTATTGGAGTTTGGACTCGGGGCCTTGAGGTTGGTAGGCTACCACTCTACCACGTGGACCTCTAGCTCTGCTTTTTGCTAGTTATTTTTGAAGATGATGTCTAGCAAACTTTTTCTGCCTAGGCTAGACTTGAACCATAGCCCTCCAGATCTAACCCTTATGAATAACTAGGATTAGAGGACTAAACCACCAGTACTGAGCACCTACTTCTGATACTGTTCTTCTTTGATTCAGTCTTTGACTATAATGCTGTTGGTAGTTAAGTGTGAAGAACTGTTTTGAAACTTCATGTTGCTGACTGTATTTGAGAGTTGGAAATAGTGATTTACTGTTTAAGATGACTTATTCTTTATGTCTTGTTTCTGATGCACTAAAATCTTTCCACTTAAAGATACCCCTCACTTGTGTGGGAACATTATAAACTGCAAACTCATTCTGCCACCAGCCTTTTTTTTGTTTCGCATCCCGTGATGACAACATATGTCTAAATGGCATTTTTAAGTATAAAGCTTACTATGGCTTCTGAAACTGCAATGTTCATATATATACTTATGTTTGGAAATAAAGATTCAAGGTTAATTTCTTTTTCCTTTACTATCTTTTATAGTCACTTTAAATTATTGTAGTGCTTTTAAATGACTATATAAATATGTACAATGTTACTTAAAGAATATTTAAATTATTTAACTAGAATTACAAAGAAGTTGAATTGTAAAAATTTTTTGTAAATAGTTTGGATCTTTTTCATGTTGTTTTTCTTGTCTATGAGAAAATCACATTTCTTGATTTTGAGTTTATAAATTTAGTTTGTCATGATGGCTTGCTATAGTCATCTGATTATTAATGCAAAGTATTTTTGAAGATATGAAATAACATCTTTTTAGCCTCATTTATGGTTAGAAAACTTACCTTTCTTATGTTTGTCTTGTATTTAAAACATGCATCTATCATATCATAATTTGAATAGATGTTCTAGGAGTGTAACAGTTTAGTGCATAGAAACTTTTTTAGGATAAGTAGTATTACATTAAATATATATATATATTTTAAAAGCATATACATATCAGTACAT